GATGCTATGATGTTATGATAAAGCACACCACATACAGATACAAAGGCAAACATGGTAAGGCACACAAGTCACATAAGGCAAGCCCCTAAAGTTTAGGCCAGCATGAGGTCTAGGTACTACCCTCTTTCAGTTTGTTGGTTCATACCTGTCCTAATCAAAAGTAACCGGGTTCTTAGAGGATCCCAATATCATTGACTACCCTCAATCGGTCATAACTCCAGCATCGCAATCTTTTCTTGCAGCCAGAACCATCACGAGAGTTTAGCCTCAATGGGTGTAGCATACTGCTACTGTTCTAAAGGCCAAGTTGTGTCAATTAAGGTTCTAAGGTTGTTGGTGCTTAATGACTCCTTAGAAGACCCATATTCTCCTCGTTGCGACACAAGGGATATCGGTACAGACCAAGGTGCCACACCAACGTAGCCACTGTTTCACCCGTGTCGGTCTACGCCGGACAGGTCCCTCACAGCTTATGCTACCTAAAACAGGGTATCCCCAGATCCGGGTTAGGATCTATGTATCTCCGATGCAACCCACAATAGTAAAGCAAGCAAATCAATACAAGTGAAAACACAGTTATGAACTAGCCCTAAGGTACACCTCACTTTATAGTTTGGTCCCCAGCAGAGTCGCCAGTTCTGTGATCGGTGGATCTGGAACTGACTGTTTAACGCTGGTTCGCGAAATGTTGCGGAAGCAAGAGTCGCCACCGTCTTTTATTTTCTCCAAATGGAAAGGACAAAAGCACAGAAAAATTCCTTAAAGAGATTGCTCTCGGTTCGGGAGGTAGGTTATAGAAAGGGAAGGTGTTAGCACCCTTTCTATCCATGGTTATCCATGGGCTCTTAGATACTTGCTCATTGTGTTTTCAAAAATGGTTTGTTTGCTTTTCAACTGTGGGTTTTTAAAAAAAAGTTTCTTTGAAAATTCCAGTTCGACTCTTGTATCAGTCCTCAAGAGTGTTTGAAAAGTTGTTTTGAAAGCTTTTTGAAAGGTGTTGGTGTGAAAAGTATTTTTGATTTGTTTTGAAATTTAGAGCAAGTATCTAGAGTCGTCTACCTACCCTAAGGAATTCGTCTGTGTAAATGTCCTTTTAAGTAGTGCCATCCCACCATTGAGAGGTAGGTAGCACCACCGTTGGAGGTGTTCGGGTCAATTCGAGGTTCGGGACATGGTGATCACCAAAGCAATAGGAAGACACCTTAGAAGCTAGCCTCATGCCAGGTTCCCGGATCATGAGGACTTACTAAGACATCCTCTACTCGACGATCACCTTTCGAGGCAAGGCAACAGTGAGGCGTACCCTAGGGGTGGTGGGTGATTTGCGTGTCGTTTTCAGATATTTTATCTTGTCATGTTAAAGGTGATCTATGCGCTTTTATTTGTCATTCATTCTTGCATGCTTTGTTTAAAAGTTAAAATATTTGCGAGAAAAGTAAATTCTAAACTATTACAACAGGCGCGGGTCCACATCGCCAAAATTTCTCGAACCCGATTTGACAGGAAAATAAAGAATTAAAGGATTAAAAAAGTACGAGAAGTAAATGTTACAACGCTTTGGGAGAGGTACATAATTATTCAAACGAAATAAAATAAATATGCAAATAAATAAGAAATTACGAACGAAACGAGGGCGTTGGACCCTTTTGTAAAATATTAAAATTAATAAGGAATTAAGATTAAAAAAAAAGAAGGCAAGAATTTGTTTTTGTTTTTTTTGGTATTTTTATGTGTTATAAGATTTAATAGAAAAAAGAAAGAATTAATTAAAATTAACTACTAACCCTAATTCTACTTTATTTTAATTTATTTAGGAAAACATTAAACTTTAATCTAAATTAAACCTAAAATTTTTTTTTATATGTAATTTAATTATGAAAATAAATTAAATAAGTAATATTATTATAGAAGGGAAAATGAAAAGAAATAAAAACAATAATTAAACCTATTTCTACATTTTTTTAATTTTTTTATGAAAAGAATTAATATTGCAAACCCTAATTTAAACTAAATTTATTCACATACAATTTGTTTATGAAAATAATTAAAATAAAATACTTATTTTATATTTTTTTGTCTTTTCTGATTTTTATGAGGTTTTTTGTATTTTGTAAAAAAATAATTAATTAAATTAAAACAATAAAGAAAATAAAATAACAATTGAAAATAAAACATAAAGAAAATATGGAAAATTGCAAACCAGGGGGGGTGGAAGTCCCAAATTGGAGGTATAGATCCAAGAATCCTGGCCCAATAGCATTGGCCTGTTTGGACTTTTTTGCTAGCATGCTGAAGCGTTGACCAGACTTAGGGTGTTCATCAATCTTGAGCCTTTGATCTGAAGCAGCTGGACGCGTGTACGCTTGGATCTGGAGGTATACCATGGAACAACGCCATCAACCTGCATATGATTGTTAATTGAAAAAAAATAAATGGAAAGGGTGAAGACCTGGGATCGAACCCAGGTCACTCACATTGCAAGTCACCACGTGCGCCACTGAGCCACTACATATGCGTTTATCATATAATAGTTAATAAATATTATAAAAGAAAATGGTCAGTGGCCTTGGAAACGCGCGCGAGTTTTAAACAAGCCAATCAACTCTTGCCACGACTCCATCTTCTTCCTCGTCCCTGTAATACAAAAACAAAAGCAACGGTTTTTCATGCGTTGTTTTAGGCCGGCTATGGGAAAATAGCGATTAGGCCTGTGTTACTCATAAATTAGGCGCGAGGACATGTTTAGGATCGTCCAGGTCTGCTGATTACAACCATGGCGTTCTTGAAGGCTAATTTTTCGTTAAATAAGAAACCCCAATTTTGAGGTCCTGCAAACCCTAGAACGCAAGCATGGTGAAATCTCATATACAGCATAAAAACATAATTGAATGCATTGGTTAGTTTCAAAACTTCATAATGAACATGAATCCATGAATAAAATGCTGTAAAAATGCTTAGATTGGAGAATACGATTATGCAATTTTCATGAGATATCTCAGGTTCTGTATACCAATTCCTTGGGCTTTGATGAGTGTTTGTGATTGGAATGTGTTCAGGGGACCTTGAGGAAGCTATTGAATCAAGTTTCGTGCCTTGAATCCACCTAAAAAATGCTTTTCAGATTTGAGTTCTTTAGAGAAAAATTCAAGTTTGCAATGGAGTATTCTGAGCAGCTGCGCCTCTCTTCTCATTAGGGTTACATCCTAGCTTATGTACTGAGTCCATTAGGTTAACAATTTTGACTAGAATCTCTTGTATTCATGAATTGAAGATTTGATTTTTTCCACCATTATTTCCATATCTTTTTCCATGTGTTTTTGGTCCAAATCATATCCAATTGCTCCAATTATTTCCATATTGACTTATGCACGAATTATAGAGGCTAAAACATGTATAAAAAGATTTATTAGGTTAGGTTAAATATTTTCCATATATTTAAATGATTTAAATGAATTAATATAAATAAAAATTCAAATAAATAAATAAAAAATGAGAAAATACTTCCCTTTGGGCCAAGTGGTCGTGCACATGTCATGGATGATGAATTATGGAAGAAAAATGGGCCCATTAGCAATTTTAGGTCATTTGAAGTAGTGTTGACTTTTCAAAATATCCAAAAATTTCCCAACTTCCACAAGGCATAACTTGCTCAATTTTTAAGATTTTCTCATGTTCTTGGACATTTTGGAAAGTTCTTTGAGTCCTCTAACCAATGCCTTTGGTCCCATGTCATTTTGATTTACCAATATCAAGTTATGGCCTTTGACTTAAAGTCCCTTTTTGTTGACTTTTGAAAATGACCTATAATGTTGAAATTGATAACTTTTTGTGAGAGCATTTCTTGGACTTGAAGTATAAAGATGCGTTGTAGGAAATGTCTTTCTCTTCAAAATGAGATTTGGATGGAATTTTTCTGATAATCCATGTGAAAGTTATGCCCTGGTCAATTTCAGTTGACTTTTTCAGCTGTCCAAATAAGGAAACTTTTGCATCTTGATGATTTTTGAGCCAAACTTTGAGAATCATGATCAAGCATTGATCAAATGATGTTTGTGGCTTCAAAATGATATCTTGACCAAAAATTTGAACTTTTGACTGTCAAATGACCATTTTGCCCCTACAGTTGACTGTAGTGCAATTTAGGGTTTTGACTGTGCAATTTTGAGCTGAATGCCTTGAAACTTGATATGAGGATACTTGACCATATTTGTAAGCATGTGAGACTTGATTGGACCTTTGAAAACTTCATTTTCTTGATCAGAACACAAACTCTAGTTATGACTGTATAGGAGTCCTTTGCACTGTGCAATTCTTGGGGAATTTTGCAGCTTGACTTGGCATTTTCTTGAAGAATATGGGAGGGCAAATTTTGGGGTACAACACCTTGGTTGTGGTAATATCTAGTATTACGATCCCCATAAACAAGCCATTTGGTTCTCGATTTTTGAAACCAAACCAGCTTCTCCTACTGCAGAATTCTGGCCATATCTTATTGAAATTTTCTCTCAAACTTCAATAAGTCATTGTGTCCTCTCCCATTCTGAAAAACCATCTGGATGCTTTTCAACATAGCCATCAAATGGTTTTTCTTATGTTGTAAACTAAGGAGGGTATGAATGTTCTCCCAATCAACTTTAGAAAAGTCATCACATTATTCTTCAAAAACAATTACAATATATCGATTTACCGGCACTCCAAACATTAAGCTTGTACGGGCAAGGTGCTTCATTGTTCTATTTCTAAAATTGCAGCCAAAAGAAATAAATACTAGTAGAGCAAATTCGAGAAAAAGATTTACATTCTCAAAAAAAAAAAAAAAAAAAGACATAATCTACATTATTTTAGTTTTTCACTCTACTCCAGCTAAAGTTAGTAATTTTCATTGAAAAAGATAAAAAACAAAATTAGTAATTTCAAATTTCATCACTCTCTCTTTCTAGTTCTTTTTTCTTCTTTTGTTGGAAAATTCTTTGTTAATTTCACAGAACAATACACGCTTTCTACCAGCATTGGTCTGTTTCCCATCTTCTATTCATATAATATCCAGAATACCGTATCTGTGTCACCGGAGCCGAAAACTGCCGGCTCCTTCCGCCGTGCACCGCCATCAGTGACATGTCATAAACCGCTCTCGTCGACGGATCATAAAGCGTCTCGTAAGCGTTGCGGATCTCGATGAAGTCTCCGTCGCCAAACTCCGGCAAGCGTCGCGCCGCCGTGTCGGGATGGTAAACCTTCGCCAGACTTCGGTAAGCCGATTTGATGTCCGTAGAAGATGCTCCTGGTTTCAGCCGGAGAACTTCGTAGAGACACTTTGCCGGCCGCCGTGACTCGACTACTCCCGCTACGGCTCGGATTGAAACGCCGCGGTGATTAGAGCAATTGGAAGTCGATTTTTGATTGAACCTGGAGGAGGTGGAACATTCCTCGGGGAATCGGCGAGGACGGACGGCGGAGAGAGAGGCGAAACTAAGCGTTGCCGCCATAGGAAAATTAAGATGTGTTCTTTTTTGCAAGGGGTAAAATGGGAATGGAAAATGTTGGAAGCTCTTCTGCTATGCGTTTAGAGATTATGTGATGAGTTTGTTTATATAAAGATCAATGAAGAGAGAGAATGAATATAGAATGAAGGGTATACAAGGTAATTTGGTTTGCCACGAGGGATTGATGTTTAACTGCGTGGGGTCTATTAAAGAAAAAGAAAGTGGAACAAATGCTGCAGTGCGTTTTGAAAGGGCTTCTAGAATGCATGGACAAAAGTAGGAGTACTTATTACTCTAGTCTATAGTATTACTAGTATTCAACAAAAAAGACGAATTTTTTTTTTGGAATGATTAGGTATTAAAAAGAAATTCGCAAATAATATATTTCGGAGAAAATTACGCAAATAATAATGTTTTAGAAAATCTCATAAGGGAGAAGTCAACCTAATTGGCGCATGCACCTTAAATTAAAGGGGAGTCGTCATCTCACTTGGCGCCTATGTGTAAAAGGCTTGCCCTAAGTCAAGTGAGATGACGCCTTAGTGCAAAAGGCAGACAGTTTTTCGCGTTTTTTATTTTAAATGCGGTACGTTACGTAAATGATATAGGATTAAGAAAATTGACTTTTTATTTACACAATATGATTACACACATAACAATTACATAAAAAATACAGATTAATCAGTGGTCCCCCGGAACCCGGTAATGACCTCTGGTTCCGCATCCCCGTCCTCGCCTTTCCCGTGCTGGATTTCGTCGTATTTCCTGTTGTGGCAAGATCGATGGCCTAGCGAAGTCAATGCGTTCCGTATCCATGAAATCAGTTAGATCTCCATATCTAGAAGATTCACTTTGGTACAGTTGATTGCCCATACCCTTAAAGTTTGACCGTGTTGGTGGTGGGTGGGGTTCCATGGTTGGTCTGTAACACTGGTCGTCTGAGTACGGGGATAGAAAGGAAATGGATCTTGGGGTGTTTGGTATTGGGAATGTTGGGTGCTTTGGTGATGTGGTTGATGGTAAGTTGGGCCGGTTGATTCATAATCTTCGGACAATCCCATATTAGAGTTAAGGTTGGATGTTGAGGGGCCCATATTGGGATATGTCTACGCCTACGCTCACACAACTTACAACCTAGAGAAGGTTCAAGGATAATTTTAAAGCAATTCTACGTAATCTATAAAAGACACCAACCTAATGTGAACTACGAAATAGGACTTTGATTCCTCAAAAGAGGATACGTAGGCATACGATTAAAATCGTGGTGAGTCTCACTAATTAAAATTAAAACCTTTTTCCCCTAATAAAACATTAAAAACCCTATTTCTTAAAAATTGCACTTCTAAACCTAGTATCTTTGTGAACAAGGAAGATGAGGGGTGCCTAACACCTTTCCCTCATCTAGAACCGAGTCAACAATCTAGAATCTCTTACTATTTTAGGATTATCCTTTATAGTCCCTTCCTTAGGATAAAAATTAAGGGTGATGACTCTGAATTTAAAACCAGTTACAACAGCTGACGACTCTGTTGGGGACTCAACCCTAGGTTTAGAAGCCTTTCCTTTAGGTTTTAAGGTTTTTCTTATTTTTTGTTTTTCTTTATTTATTTATTCATTTATTTTGCTTATTATTATTTTATCATATTATTATATCTGTGGTGGGATTTAAAATTTTGCAAAAAATATTTTCAAAAAAACTTAGAAAGAAAGTTTATCTATTAGCCAAGGGGTTACATCAGCCTTATGAGTTTATGTGACGACTTCGCCTAGAGTCGGTGAAATTATGCAAAAGGAATACCTCTTGAGAAACATCCTTTTGGGAAGTAAGACTTTGGAATAACACATATGACTCTTTGTACGACTTTTAAACAAAAAACTCATGATGAGACCTTTCATGACCTAGAGACGAAAGTTTTGGTTTGTAAAGAGACTCCGCTTAAGGGGGGCCCTTATGCCTTTCCTTCTAGTTTTATTCATGATACCCTTAAGGAAGCCACCTTATGGGGAGGGTATAATATCTATAGGCTAAAACTAAGATCCTTCCTTCTAAGGATACACTTCAAAAATCTCACTACAATTTGTAAACCCGCAAGGGTTATCTTTTCTCCCATTACTATCTCTAGCCCGCAGGGCTTCCGTCTATTGCATAATCCTTATCCTGTAAAGACTCCTCGTCATCTTTTATTGACCATAATCCTCAAGGAATTCCTGTCTGTCTCAATCTCTGAGATAATGTAGGATATCATAAAATTTATGTTTATTATTATCTTCGTCCATAAGGAGTCTCCGCCTGTCTCAATCTCTGAGTCAGTGTAGGATATCATCATGGATATTGTGATACGGTGGGAGAACTGACTAGTATTTTGCGTTCATATTCGCACTTGTGCGGTTGAGCAAGAGTCACCACCGACTTTTTATTTTATCCTAAAGGAAAGGTTAAAAAAGCACAGCAAAAACCTTTTGAGATATTTCGTGGGTTCGGGGGGTAGATTATGAAAAGGGAAGGTATTAGCACCCTTTTCATCCATGGTTATCCATGGGCTCTTAGGTACTTGCTTAGATCAATCTTGCCATGGTTTTCAATTGTATGAAATGGTGCTTTGTGTGTTGTTTTGAAAATGTTTTGAAAAGATGCCTTGTGCTAGGCTAACCTTGTAACAATTCTTTACTCGAATGTTTTACAAAAGGTGTTTTATCTTTTAAAAAGATGTTTCAAGGGTTTGAAAAGTTTGATTTTTGAAAGTGTTTGTGAAGTGGGTTTTGAAATTAGGCAAGTGTTTTCTTTGCAAATTGACAAGTACTTAAGAGTTTATCTACCCTAAAGCTTTCTCAAAGATTTTCGTCGTGTTTTAACCCCTTTGACAATTTTGTTCTACCATTGAAATTGGTAGGCAATCTTGTATTTAGGAAGTTTATTCGGGACGGGCGTGGGTCATCGTATGGACCATGAATGCAATGATGCCAAGTGTCTTTGGCAATTTGTTTTGAAGGGACTATGATCATTCCATTTAGGCAACATTTTGAGGGACTTATGATCATTTGATTTTGTTTTGCCAAAGATACTCGACGTGCAAGCATGGCCCCTTTTGGAAGGCATCATATGGGATTACCCTAGAGGGTGCAAGTGTGATTGTGTATTGATTACATGCGTTTGTCTTGTATTAGGTTATCTAGCGTTTGGTTTTATGTACATATAAACCCTAGGTCTAACCATGGTATAATTGGAAAACTGTAAATTGCGGAATGTAAATCTACGCTATTACAAAATAGTATCAGGGAGTGGGGGTATAAATGTACAAGGGGATGAGACTTATAGTATCCAATAAGTTACAACCAAATCGAATGTGCGATCAATATGAATACCAAATATAAATGTAAGATAAACAAATGTGTATAGGGCAATGTGTTGTGTAAGTGTACAAGTGTATATGTATGCGTAATTGTTTACAAGTGCGAATTGTGAAGTTGAATCGTATTAGGGTTTGACCTAGATAAATGTATTTTAAATGAATCTTTGATTTTTGTATGTTTAATTATGTACAAAAGAAAAATGAAGTGTTTTGATTAAAATGTTAAGTTTTAATTAAAGTATTTTAGTCAAATGTTTGTGAATTTCGATATTAGAAAATAAATGTATTTAAGTTGGTATGTACAAATGTATATGTTAATTAAAAAGTTTCAATTTAATTATGTATAAAAAAATGTATAATATGTACAAAATTAATGTTTTAAAATGTATGTACAAAATATCTATCTAAAAAATGTTTTAACCTTATGATAAAAAATGTATTTTTAATTAAGTGAGTATTTTACAAAGAATAAAAAAAAACATTGTTTATAAAATGAAATAAAAAAAGGGTTAGTATTTTATAAAAGAAAAAACAAAAGAAGTGGATATTGTTTATAAAATAAAAGAAAGGGTTATATAAAATAAAAGGTTAAATGAATATTGTAGATGAAATAAAACAGGGTTAGTGTTTGATGGGCTTTGGGGAAGTGAGGACGGGTCAGGCCCAAGCTTGGTCTTGAACGAAATTTAGGGTTCGCGTTTGTTTGGTCAATTGGGAACGAAATCTAGGGTTCGTGTGGAAACGGCGCCATTCACTGATTCCTGCTCATCTTCGTCTTCTACGCGAGCTTCTATGCCTCTCTGCCTGAGCCACCCCGCTACCGCCTCTCCTCCTCTCATACGGACTAGACAGTCCTCAAATGACGGTTAGTGCATCGTTTCGAATTGGTTTAGGCATTTTGTTTTAGATTCTTGCATGTCATGATTTATGTGCTTTGTTCTTCATATCTGCTGTGTTTGTTTTAACAAGATGATGAGAAGAAAGATGAGGAAGGAAATGTACTACCTTTGATGTGGAGGAGAGGACAAGGGAGCGCTTGAGGAGGCTCAGTGGCGATTTGGTGATGGAGCTTGCTTGGATGAATCTTTGAGCTTTCCTGGTATTTTCGCTCTTTTGCTATATTAGGTTTTGATGATGATGTATACTGAGAAGCCCTAATATGTTCACTTCTTTATCTTCTTCTTCCACTATGTGTTGCCTTGATTTGTTTCTGCTTCTCCTTCTCTCGTGTTGCCTTTGTGTTGTTGCCTGAGTGTTTGCTTGAGTATTGTTTGAGATGCCCAATGATGATCTCTGAGATCTGAGGGCCTATGTATTGTTGCCTGAGTTGCTTCTTTCTTCTTGAGAGGCTGTATGCTTGTTTGCGTTGCTCAGTGATGACCTCAGAGGTCTGAGGGCCTAGGTTGCCTTGAAAACTTGTTGCTGGATGCTATGGTTGAAACAAATGTGTAGTTTTGATTAGCTTGACAGGCGTTGGTATGGTTTTTGAATTGAACTGTGTGTTTGATGGCTTTATTGACAGGCATGGTTGTTTAGTTCATATGTTTTTTTTGAGTTTGTGAGGCTAGTGGTAAGGCAGGGTTGATGAAGTTTTTGGTTTTTGGCATTGGTTTGAGATAACTCAGTTTACAGGTTATGTGAGGTTTGGGACAG